TATAAACTGTGATACCCTATAGTGACTGTGTTATTTAAAGACCTCAACAGTGCATAGGAGTGATCTTTTGTGAAGATGGAGCGATGTAGAACCGGATGGAACCTGAGCTATGACGCCTTTACGAGTGGGAGCGTTGCTCGGTTGGGATACTCTGGTTCCCGCTTCATGTGACAACCAGCGTGTGCGGCGCGGACGGTTCATCATAAACACCAAGACAGCGATTTGGAGTGAGTGCTGGGACCGATATGGAGGCCCCAATGCAAGAGACGGAGCGCCCTTACGGGAGACAACAATCCACGCCACAAAGGTACTTCTTTGGACGACACGTAGGGCTCCGCCCCCGCTCTGAATTCAGGTACTTTGCTGCTTAGTGATTCGCGTGTCATGGACGCCATTTTGTCGCGATTCGCGATCCATGGACGCCATTTTGTAGTCCATCCTAACACCCTAACATCGACGACCGAACGAGATTTTACATCACACATCTTAACATCGACGAAATGAACCTAACCTTTTACCATAACATCCTAACTCCGATGCAACGAGCGAAGTTTACTTATCCTAACACCCTAACAGGGACTGCGGTTGGGAGCCGCTCTGTTAGGATCCACGCTAATGATGCAATACACATCCTAACATCTATGTGCAATGTGTTGATAGGATTGCACTACTGAGAATCAAGCTAATGACGCAATATACAATTAAACAGGAAACATCTTTTGACTGGATTTACACAAATTTACTGGATTAACATATTAAGGAGGATAATTACGCACAATAATTGGAGTGGAATGAGCGACGCTTGGCCCCAAACCTTTGGACTCTGTGACCGCGACCTTTTACGACCCCGCGGACAACGAGGTTTGAAGATTAGTTGTACGCACCTTTTCTTTTGCTCCTTTTATTTTATTTTATATACCAACTAGCGTTTAATAATTATCTCACCTTACCTTACCAACTTATTATAACTGTGTATTACATTTACAGTCAGTTCTTATATTAATGTCGTAATTTATTACCATCTAGTCTAGACATTAATTTATACATATTATCATGTTATATTGCTGTCTCTGATCAAATTAGCATCGTTAGCTTACAGACATTGTTAAGATCATGACAATATTAGCTCTGTGTACCATTCAATCACCGGACTAGCCGGGTGATTGGGCTAGTATTGTTAGCTTTGAAATAGAAACCAATTTTTGTTCAGTTCGATCAGTGTCAATTGCTCGAGAGCGATCCGAACCTCTCAGTTGTTAACATCAGCCGGACTAGTTAAGAATGTTCGGAGCATTTAACACCTATAGTATCGCTCCGATGGTTTGTATTGTTCGGAACACTTAGAATTGTTCCGCTTGTTCGGATGTTTCGGGTCGCTCTGATTAATATTTTTGCTCGGAGTAGTTAAGACTGTTAAGATTGTATGGACCAGTCGGAATGGATCGGATCGGCTAATTAACAACTATGCACCGATCGGTTAGGATGCTACATTGTCAATCATGTATATATCAACTGCCACTTAAAGTTGGCGAAACGAAATCAAGTAATTTGTTAATAACCATCATTTTTAATAGACGCATATTAATTTTATATTAATTAAATCATAATCAAAAGCAAATGAAATGATCATATCGAGTAATGTAAATAACAACCAACTTTTTGTACATATAGTTCTATTATTAGTAAACATACGATTTTATGTAAATAACCATCTTTATGATCGTTTGCCGCTGATCCGGGTATGGCGGTGTGCCCGGTCGATAATTGTAGAACATTGATCGCATGTACATATTGCATTATCGATATTATTATTTAGATAAATAATCACATAAAACCCATGTATATAACTCAATTAAGCTCATATGACAATCATATCACGTAATGTAAATAAACAACCAATGTTATGTACATATAGTTCTAGTATTATTAAACATATGATTTTATGTAAATAACCATCTTTATGCTGATCCGGGTATGGCGGTGTGCCTGGTCAATAGTTGTAGAATGTACATATCACATTATCGATATCATTATTAATATTAATAATCACATATAATTTATGCAAATAACTTAATTAAGCTCATATGACTTTATTTAAATAATCAGTTGGGATGTTGTCGTTTGCTGCCGATACGGGCGAGGCGGTGCGCCCGATAGACAGTCGGCTGAACGACTATTTGATCACATGTACATATAACTATATTACTAACATCATTGGCTTGAAATCACATAGGATTATTGTAAATATTTAAAATTAAGAGCATATCGTGTACTGTTGGCATGAGTGTGGCGGCGCGCTCTGCCAATAGGCACTTGGATACATGTACATGTGTCTATATAACCATCTGTAGTATTAAGTATTTTAGTTTATCTAATAATCATATAATTAATCACTTGTATATAACCAATCGCTAGCGATCGCTTTTGTAACCAAGCGGCTTAATCATTTTAAAAACCAAATTCAATCAATATCAATTAAGTTCTGTATATATTAATCATTATTTATAAGTCAGTTAACGGTAATTGCGTTATATTAATCAGATGTACATATGAATCCAACTGGATAATGATTAATTATCTTTACAAGCTACCATGGTTAGCATTACTTAATTTTAATAAATAATTAATATTGTACATATGATTATATAACCGGTATTAAAATCATAAGTGTAATGAACGATCTGAACCTCTTAGCGTAGAGTGTTGGCATCGCGTCCGGATCGATCGATAGGGCTATTCATGCTTGGACCTTTTATTGTGGCTCTTGTTCGGACGCGTTAAGACCGATGCTAGCATCTGGACCCGTTAAGATCTCAGGTTGTCCGGAACCGTTAGGTTCGTGTGTACTGTTTAATTCAAATATTGTTCGGGTTTGCTAAGAGTGTTCGGAACATTTAACATCAATAGGATGGATCGGACTGTTCCGAACAGATGGGATTGTTCCTATAGTTTCGATGGTTCGAATCGCTCGGAATATATGAGATCGTTCGGATGTTTCCGATTATTCCGATCGGTCCGAGCAGTCAACATAGTTAGAATTGTATGGACCGACTTGGATGTACCGACTTTATTATTAGCAATCAGAATCTTTAACAATTTTTAATTGTATACTTTCAATTTTATACTCAATTGTCCTTAGTTTTATAATCTCTGTATATTACCATCGTTATTAATCGCTTCTGCAATAAAGCGATTATATTTAGTTGTCAAATTAGCTTTGTAACCATCTGTACATACAAAAAAAAAAAAAAAAAAAAAAAAAAAAAAAAAAAAAAAAAAAAAAAAAAAAAAAATTCTATATGAATCATGTATGACTTTGACAACAATTATATGTAACTTAGACTAAGTCGGTACATCAACATCTCGCGAAGGCATAGTGCCTATTGACCATCATCGCGCGTCAAATAGTTGATTTTAATTCCTCCAAAAATTCCAACTTAGTTTCTATTCAATGCTACATTACATAAGTAAAATTAACCATCTTTATGTGTTGGAATTTTCCCAAATTAAAATCACTAAGCCCCTACGGGGGCCCCCTCGGACTCCAAATAACATCTCGTCGGAGCCGAGGTTTCGTATTGCGTAAATATAGGAATTCCAACTTAGTTTGTATTCAACGCTACATTACATTAGTATAATTAACCATCTTTATGTGTTGGAATTTTCCTAAATTAAAATCACTAAGCCCCCACGGGGGCCCCCTCGGACTCCAAATAACATCTCGTCGGAGCCGAGGCTTTGTACTGTTTATATAATTGAATTCCAACTTAGTTTGCATTCAACGCTACATTACATGAGTCTAATTAACCATCTTTATGTGTTGGAATTCTCTTAAATTAAAATCACTAAGCCCCTACGGGGGCCCCCTCGGACTCCAAATAACATCTCGTCGGAGCCGAGGCTTTGTATTGTGTATACACCGGAATTCCAACCTAGTTTGCATTTAACGCTACAATACATGAGTATAATTAACCATCTTTATGTGTTGGAATTCTCTTAAATTAAAATCACTAAGCCCCTACGGGGGCCCCCTCGGACTCCAAATAACATCTTTTCGGAGCCGAGGTTTTTGCACCGTATAATACGGGAGTTGGTTCCGCGAAGGCGAAATGCCTACACCAACTATTATTGCGTGTTAACATCTTATCGGAGCCGAGGCTTTGTACCGCGCATATACCGGAATTCCAATTTAGCTTGTATCCAACGCTACATTACATGAGTATAATTAACCACCTTTATATGTTGGAATTCTCTCAAATTAAAATCATAAGCCCCTACGGGGGCCCCCTCGGACTCCAAATAACATCTCGTCGGAGCCGAGGTTCTCGCACCGTATAATACGGGAGTTGGTTCCGCGAAGGCGATATGCCTATACCAACTATTATCGCGTGTTAACATCAAGACGGTTCGGCCGACTCCGCTCCCCGCATTGCCGCACTTTGGTGTGGCCGGTGCGGGAAAGGGAAACGGCTTATCACCGTCCGCGCACACTTTACCCAGGGCGACCACCGACCCCCTATCTGGGGAAGTCGGCAACATCTTGGATCACTAAGTTGATTATTTTCTTGCTAATTATACTTTTTACATTTTTGCCATCTTAAATTCCAGGTCATATGGACCATTGTTATTAGTAATTCTGCGTATTCATTCGTATCCAATTAGAGTCGCCCTGGTACGGCGTGGAAGCTCCAACATCTATCGACTCCGCCGCTTTCATTTGGGAGGACTTCATGATCGCCCCCCCGTGCCGCGGCCGCCGCCTTTTTCGGTGGCGGGCGCGGGGCGGGGGGGCGGTTTTCGGGACCTCCCGACTTATCATCTCATCTTTATATTCTTGCGGTGTCGGTGCTCCCGGCGCCCGGTGACCTTAACCTCCTCTCTGGGTTGGGGATGTCGGACGGCGGGGGGACCCCTCTTGCGGCACCATATATATTTTTTACTCATGCATATTTATTATCATATATATTTCTCATATCATCTATATAATTATATATTCTTTCCTATCTCGGGGAGTGGAGGTTTGGGTCCATCAAGAAGTTCGCCGATCTCGCTCCCTTCTCTTCCGCGCCTCCCCTGTTTTCCAGGGGTTGGTACGATCCCCCCTCACAAGGGGGATCTAAAGCATTATTTTCAGTGTTCCATAACTAAAATCAATTCAGCTTTCGGGAAAAAAAAAAAAAAAAACCTAACCTAACCTTTTTTTTTTTTTTTTTTTTTTTTTTTTTTTTTTTTTTTTTTTTTTTTTTTTTTTTTTGACGCTGAGAAATACATTACGTATGTCCGCTCCCCCCATGCGCTGGGGGTCACGGGGTCTGTGGGACTCCTCCTGTGGTCCCGCCCCCCGAATGGGGGCTAGACAAAATACAGGAGTTTACCCACTAAAACTCAGCGATGTCCCTCGCATGGAAGGCGATGCACGGGATCGGCCGAGGCCATACTCCGCGCGGTTCGCCCCCATTTCGGCCCGCCCTGAAAAGGGCAGGTCCCTCGCGGGTTGGGCGGCACATCTCAGAGACACTCGAGACGTACCCCCAGACAGGGCGGAGACGTGCAATGCCGGCTAGTGCGCGAACCAGCCAGCTGCCCCCGACTAGGGACCAGAGATGCGCGACTGTGCATCTCTAGTCTCTTTCCCATCTATTGGAAGGACCCACACAGGCAGAGCCCTTATCGTGGATCCCTCCCCCCGTACGGTCGCAGCTACCACCGGAGTACGGCCCGACCACAGCCCTGAAAAGGGCGCTATCAGGCCTCGTCAACCGGCTCCGCCGCTCCTCTCTGCGCGGCCCCGGAATGGTACCGCCCGGACCGGCCGCCACACACACCAAAGCGGTGTGTATGGCGGCCGAGCCGGGCGCCCAGACCAGGGCCACAGAGGAAATCCCCTTACCTGCGAATCGCAGGTCGACTCCCCATGTACCTCTCACTAGCAGCGACACAGGCGCACCCGGCAGACGTATCCCTGCCAGGGAACCAGTCAGCTGCTAGCCGCTCCAGCTGTCCCCCCCCCGAGAGAGATGAGCACGCTAGTGCGTGTCCATCACCTCAGGGAGGTCCTCAGCCGGTACCGCACGAGTACTATGGGGCACGGGAACCGACCGTGCCCGTACGGAAGGTGGGGAGCACCTCTTGCTCCCCATCACGTGTCCGCTCGGCAAGGATGCAGCAGCACAAACTGCGCATCGCGCCTTTTCGCGGCAGCACGCCGCCTTGTGCCCCTCGAGGCCGCATCTGAAGCAGACTCCAGAGCGATCCTCCTTTGAGGGGCACACCCTCCGCACGTGTCCCGTACCCATACACTTGAAACAGCGCATGGGTAGGGGATCTAGGCGTCGTATCCGGGCGGATGTCCACCCGACCAACAGGCGTCCACTCTTGGCTAGAGTGTCCGCCGCCGCCACAGGACACTTCAAGAGAGCTGTATTCAAGCCCCCGGTGCCTCTGCCAATGGGCCCCAGCAAAATCTGCTCCGGGGGACAATTGCCCTGCCTCGCAAGCTCCGCCTTCAATTCGTCAGAGGTGACCGAGTCGTCAAGCTCGGTCACTCTCATGTCAATCCTCTTGATTGGCGTCGATACAGTGACCGAGTCGCCACACAACTCCTTCAGCCTGGAGGCAAGGAGACTTGCCTGCTCACCACTGTTTGCCCCTGGCACCTTGAGAATTCTGGCACCGGTAGCGGTAATTCCCATATTAACTCCCGTCGGAATGCCCAACTCTGGGAGGGCAATTTCTCTGCGCGCCTTTGTAAGTACCTCCTCATAAGTCACCCCTTTGGACTCAGCCTCGGGGGTGATTGTGACCACCACGGCCGTGGTATTGAAAGCCGCTGGTTTATGTCTCCCTCTTTTCCTTCTTTGGGAGGGGGGCGATTTCAGTGCTGTAGCCGGTACAGCCGGCGCAGGGATCACACCAGTCCCTTCATTCCTCTCTCTCGTTCCTCCCCCCTTCCCTCTTCCGTTTCCTCCTTTCCTCTTGACCACTTGGGCCCAGCTCATCTCCGTTGTCTCCGGGACGGGCTCCCTCTGAGCTGTCGATTTCAGCTGACGATCGCAGTCGCTCCTCGTACTACCGCCGCCCCGAGGCGCACCTGGTAGAAAAGCCGGAGTTTGCGTTCCAAATGTGCGCATTCTCCTATCCGTCGACTCACTGGGCTTGTCCGATGCCAGTGGCGGACGAAGGGGCGGGCGCAACGGATTGCTCCACGCCTCCTCCGACTGGCAACCAGCCTCTTTATTTTTGCGAATCGTCAATTCTGTCTGCGATCCAGTGTCCCTCTCCAGTATCTTCCTCTCTACTTGACAGACCATGTCCTTCCCCTTTTTCAGTGCTCTCTGCCTATTCAGCTCCATCGTTAGTAGATCCACCCGTCCCTCCGCATCCGGGAGCAACACGCCATGGTAGTGTTTAAGGAACGTGAGCCCCCCGATAAGTGCTATTTGTGCGTCACCCACTTGACTGCGGAGATTCGTCCCTCTTTCGATTTCCGATCCTTTCAACAGCGTGTTCAACCTCTTAATGGCGGTTTCCATTATCTCAATCGCCTGTTCAGTGGTTGCGTCCTTATATATATACTGACTAACAGGCTCCTTATCCTTCCCTGGCCGATCTTTATCATCTCCAATTTTCGCCGCCTCTCCCAAACCATCCGAAGATGTTGAGCTGCTTTCGACTGCTGAACCCTCTGGTCTGTTCCGACTTCTGCTCCTGACGCGTTCCCTCGCGCTCGTGCCTTCTACCTGCCTACGGGCGACAAATCGACCCTTCTCGTCTCTTGGTACTCCTCGACCACTTCCGCCTGGACTCAGCCTCCTTTCATCCTCAGTGTTGAATTTTGTTTTGTTTATTGTATTCTCCATATTTGATCCCACGATTACATGGCAAACCACGTCCACTCGTGCAGAGGCCGTTGTACACGAGTAAGCCTAGGGTTATGAAGGCGGGGGTCGGCCGGTCCCCGCCTCCAGAGGACCTGTAGCGACTCCATTACCAGGAGCCACTCACCCCCTAACCCAGGTCAAGCGTGGGGTTGGTTGTTTTTTACCGTGGTCTCATCCACATAGAGTCGCCCAACAAAGGGTAGCTCCCCCGTCTCCGCTCAACGCAGAGGTACGGGTCGGCCGGTGGTTGCCCTGAAAAGGACGCCCGTCGCTCGTGACACCACGACACGACGGGCCCACCGCCCTCGTTGGCACGACCGCTGCCCGGGTTACCCCCGGGACGCCCGTCCAACCCGAACCGCGCCGCCGCTACCCGTCTCACCGACAGGACGCCGGCCCGGAACCCTCACTACACAAGACTCCCTCCAAGGAGGGAAACTCCCCCAGAACGCGACCAAAGAGGTCTTACCGCCCCCCCTAGTCACACATCACGACGGCCCTGAAAAGGGCCAACAACGACCCACCCGAAGGGGTCGAAAACCCTCCTCCTCCCAGCCCGTCAGCCGCTACCCAGAATAAGTCCAGGACGCCTGACGGGCTCCCTCACATGGTCTGACATCAGCCGTGGCGGCTCAAAGATACTTTGAGCGGCCACGTTGCCCGGGGTGCACCACGAGGAGGTTGCCAGACACCGCACCCCAACCTAACCTAACCTAACCTAAGCCTAAGCCTAAGCCTAAGCCTAAGCCTAAGCCTAAGCCTAAACCTAAACCTAAACCTAAACCGTTCCGTCCCGTTTCGTTTCGTTTTGTTTCGGTCAAAAATAAGCGGTCAGTGATCCGTGTAGATAGGAGTGCGCTCAGCTGACCCACGGCGCGAGGTGTCCATAAATGAAGTTTTAATGAAAGAAAAAAAAAAAAAAAAAAAAAAAAAAAAAAAAAAAAAAAAAAAAAACACTAGTGTCACTTTTCACTTCACTGAAAGCGTTATTATTTTTTATTGTTAAGTCTTCTAGACTTTGTGCCTCCTCTACATCTCGGCGTTTGACTTCTTCTCATAAGAAACAGTCCCTCACTTGTGAACAATGCCTCATCCGTCTACAAGATGTTTGCATCGCGGTGATGTAGAAGCCACTCACATAAGGCTCGACGTGGTACTGGGTCATGGAACTGTTGAACCGGCTGAAAGTGGTACGGATGGAGTCCGGCTGTTTTTAGCAGCTTCAATACCGCAGGCTGGCTCACACCAAAGAGATATGCCGCATCGTGGGTACTGACTCTGGGACTTCCCAAAGGCCCGCATACGAGGTATGCTCTTCGTCGCATACTTTCTCCGAATTGCGCTTATGTAGGTTCTCACCACTCAGAAGATAAACTCGTACATCTCGTAAAACTCACAATGGCGGGCGCGTCGCCTGCGCGGGAACGCGAGGACACGTCACATCGGCGCGTGCGTGTGAGTCTCACTGTCGCGCGCGTCTCTCGGTCCCGGCGGGGCTGTGGGGGCTGTGGCGGGGGGCTACCGGGCGCGGCGGGGTTTTTTTTTTTTTTTTTTTTTTTTTTTTTTTTTTTTAATGCCCGGCCTTACATATTTGGCCGAGCTTCCTACCGCTCCCCACTTTGTAGCAGGGCGTTTTTATTCTACCTTCTCTTTCATTCCATTTCTATCATTTATCACATCCTTCCATTCCTCATACTGTATCTTTCTCTTATTCTTCCCTTCCATACTTCGAGCAACTGGGTCTGTTGCATCTATTACTATCTGGTCCTATTCTAATTTTCTTTATTTACTTCTTATTTTTATATGTACTTCAATAAATGTAGTCTTTTCTTTTATTTGTGAATTCGGGTTTCTTCTCCCGTTACATAGTATGTTGTTATTTATTTTACATTTTCTTATTTTTCAAGTTAATTATCTTAGTTACATTTCTTTATATTCTACTTCTATTTACACTCCTTTTTCTTATCTTATTTTACACTTCTTTATATTGTATTTATTCTAAGTAGTATTACATTTCCTCCAATATTTTAATGATTCTAATTACATTGCTAGTTTTCAAATTGTTTTATTACAGTCTATCTTAAAGTTAATTATCCTAGTTACATTTTTTTATATTCTACTTATACCTATGTTATCTCTAATCTTACATTTTTGTTTCTTTACTGATCAATCCTGTTTCTATCTATCCAAATTTACATTACATATCCTATATATATTGCTTTAGTGTATTTCATCCCCTTATATTGTTTGTTTCTATTACGTATTAGTTACGTCTTTTTCCTTTTAATTTTTTATTTTTGTCTTGTCCGGTTTATACTTCTTGTTTTATTCTATTTCCTATTTAGAGTTTTGAGCACTTGAAAATATGCTATTCATATTTTACTGTGCTCATTTCTTTTGCTTTTATTTTTCTTTTGTTATTCCTTTGTAGAGTCTTATACTCATGATAATTCTTACAAAGTTTTGTGTGAATTGTGTGATGTGTCATAGTTTCGCTCATCCCATAATGAGTTTCACTATGGTTTTTGTGTGTGTTTGTGTGAGTCTGTTTGTGTGATTTGTGGTTTGTTAGTGTATTTTTGTGTATTTGTGTAGTGTTGTTTATGATCCTAAATTCCTGGGCTTCTTTAAATGTATTGTGTGGTCGAGCGCACCAGGTACTCCCACTTTTCTCTTGTTCTGCACTCTGTGCTGAAGGCGTTATGCTGTTGGTCCGGGTATTCAGCGTGCGCACAGTTGCAGCACCTCGGTGGATTCCCTGCTTCCCTATCTGGGCAATTTGCGCGTAGGTGGGGGCCTCCGCAGTGGCTGCATCTGTCCGCACTTTCCACACAAAATTTTCTACCGTGTCCAAATCCGAGGCACCTCGTACATTGGATGAGCGGCGATTGGTCTTCGACCTTTAGCCGCTCCATCCCCATGTAGAGGCGCCCTTGTTCCGTAATTTTCCTCCATACTTCAGGATGGACCTGGAGAACTGCATGGCATCGGTCTTGGTTGGTGGATTTTTTCCTATATTTGAGTTTCATCTTTTTATGTTCTTCTTCTTTATATATTTCGGGGTTTTGTCTCATCAAGTTCTTGTTTTTCGTAATCTTTGCGTATGTTTGAAGTGTCTCTTCTGATGATAATGAAGTATTTTTCTGCGGTGTTCTTTTTATTTCATCTTCTATCTTTTTTATATTTTCTTCTATGTCTTTTTTAATTTCCTTGTTGTTATTCTTTATATTTTCTACCAGTTGCTCTTTTATCCCTTTTGTCTTTTCCTTTACTTCTTTTATAGTTTCCTCTCTCGCGTGTGTTATCCTTTCATTCAAGTATTTTTCTGTTTCTTCTATTTTGTTTATAATCTCCTTGTTATTTATTTGTATGGTTGGATGTTCGTGGCGTTCTGTCGTTTTAGTTCCTTTTTTTGTAATTTCTTGTTTAATATCATTCCCACTGTCCTCTATCCTTTCACCTATTCTTCTTCCCATATCGATAACTTCGGCTGTTATTTTGTCCTCTGTTTGCTCTATTTTATCAATTATTTTTGTTCTATTTTCTATTAAGATATCGGTATTTGTCTCTATATTTTCCATTTGTTTATTCATTTTATTTTGCATGGTCATCATTTCTTCGATTTTCTCCATGATTTGTTTCTCTTTCCTTAATTCTTTTACGTCTCTTTCTAAAGCGCCGAATGTTATCTCTTGCTGTTCTATGTAACTTCTTATATCCTCTCCTATAGTCTCCATTGTTTTCATTTTTTCTCTTGTCTTCCTGATTGTTAAAATTATTCTGTCTTTTGTTTCTTTTCTTAAGGTGGGTTGGGTTTCCATCGTTTCTAGGACTTTGGACAGTTTACCTGCTATGCTTGATAGATCACTCCAAAATCTGTCCATATCGGGACCCCACTCTTGTGCCTTTTCCTTTTCCGGTTTTGGTGGTGTTTCCGGATTGCTGATTAAACTCCTCCTTGGTGAGGGAGTGGGCATCGACTCTTGGCTGCTAGTCTGCCTTGGTACAGGTTTCGGTGATTTATACATTTTAATTTGTTCTAAATGCTTTTACTATTTATTGTTTATGTTTTTTGGGGAGCGGATTCTATGATGTAATTATTTATTTTGTTTTGTATGTAATATTTTACTTGTGTGTATGTGTATGTTTTATGTGTGTTATGTTTTAGGTGTGTATTATGATATTTGTTTTTTGTTCTAGGTGCCGTCGTCCTTTTTGGCAGATCAACTGCTGGTCCTCTCCTCGGCGTGTAGGTATGTATTGTTTTTTATTATTTATATTTGGTTGTGTGTGTATGTTATGTTGTTTGTGTGTATGTGTGTGTGCGTGTTGTGTATATGTTAATTGCAGAGCCTAGCTCGATGCGTTTAGTCCGTTTTTCTTATTCTAAGACACGTCCCAATAGGGTACGTTGTCATTAATGAAACTTAATTTTATAAAAAATTGGGTAAAAGTAAAAGTCAATAAAAGTCGAAATATTTTTGGAAGTATATATATTTTTGTCACGATTTTCTAGTATTATTAATTTTTTTTTATCATTTACCGTTTATATTATTTATTTCAAATTTTTCCGGTAAACAACCATAAAGTTTCGCGTTTTTCCGAGTTTTCCGGGATTTTCTCGAAAAATCCCGGGTCTAGTGTGTCGCATCCCGGGTCTAGTGTGTCGCACGGCGCGGCGGGGTTGCACGAGGGCATACGCAAGAGAAGACGTTTTCATTGAAGTTTTATTTTAAAAAATGTGTCCATATTCTACCGTTTCGATAGGGATAAAAATATTTTAATTTTTTTTTTAACTAATTATGGAAAAGTGTTCTATTACTGATACTGAAGCATCAAAAAAAAATTTTGCACTGGAAAAAAAAATATTCCTGTATAATTTACGGTCTAGAGAATCTCTGAGAGAAATATTTAAAGAAATAAATATTTTGACTGTTGCCTCTCAATATATATATGAAAATATTATGTACGCAAGGAAACATTACGATTCCTTCACAAAAAAAAAGAAAGGTAGTGTTCATAATCTTAACACAAGAAATAAAAAAAAAAAAAAAAATAATAATAAAAAAAAAAAAAATAATAAACTTGCCGTTCCAAGCTTCAGACTTCAGAAAACCCGAGGATCATTTCTGGGCAAATGCATTGCTATGTTCAATAAAGTTCCACAAAATGTAGTTGACCTACCCATAAATAAATTTAAAATTCATGTAAAGAATATACTTATGAGTAAAGGCTATTATAAAGTTGATGATTATTTTAAGGATCGCAATGCATGGAATTAATAGCCTTCGCTTTGTTCTATAAAGACAAATTATATGTTCAACCTATGTCCTACAGACTTTGGAAGTTGTATTTATTATTGTGATAATACATATTATTTTGGTAATGACATGATTTATGTAAATGTCAATACTTATGATAAAAAGCTGGTAAGTTTCTTTCACTTGTTCTTCTTGTCAGCTTAAAGACGTCTTGAACAAGTGGTAGGGGAAAAAAAAAAAAAAATTTTTTAGACGATTCAAAAGTGCTTGTAATAGCCTACTTGAATAAAGATATTTTCATTTCATTTCATATGTATAAACGATCAGGTTATATATAACGATATATGGTTATTCAGTATAAACGATCCAGGTAGTAAATTAATCAGATGGCGTTTACAATTAGGAGAATTCGATTACGAAATTATAAATAAACCAGGAAAATTCAATTCAAATGCATATTGTTTATCTAGAATTAATATAAATACTATAAGTACTACTACTGAATTAGAAACTTACAATGACTTTAAAAATTTCTTTACATCTCAAAATGAATTTGAAATAGAAGATTTTATAGAAACAGATGACCTCTTATTCAATAATAAACACAATAATATAGCTTACCTAACAAATATATCTTTAGATGAAGAGAACCCTTTTTCAAGAGAAGCATTTAGTACAAGTAATAATATGGATGAACTTATGGCTCAAGAAAAAGAACTTTATCAAATACTTCAATCAAAAACGACTAATAATACACAAAATGTATACCATTGTATAATCAAACAAAATCATTATGATAAAATTACATTAAAAGATATATTTTATACCTTAAGGAATCTACGCAAAGTATTAGTAAAAAAAAAAAAAAAAAAAATAAGATAGACACAATTTACTTACGCAATTTTAAAGATGAATATAGTTCAATACACCCTGATAATAGAAAACATGTTATATTTTATGTACTTCGAAATTAAAAAAAAATAAAAATAAAATAAATAATAATAATAAATAAATCGTATGTGTCATAACAAAATTACTATGAAATAATTAGTATCGATAACTTTAAGAAACAAAAATGGTAAACATGAAAAAGTACATGCAAACAGAGTTAAACCAGCTTCTAAGAAGTTTATAAAAATACCTAAAATAAAACCCACATTTTCAGGTTATGGATTACGATCCAAATCACAACGTTAACAGCGATGTAAATTACTACTATTACCAACGGATCAGGATTATATTTCGATAGAACAGGAACACTGATGATACACGTTGACGATTCGAAGTTAATAACATTCAAGGACATTGGAAACATCCCATGGGCGATAAGACTTTTAGAATCTAGATGCAAATATACAATTACTCATTGTAATGATTTAGAGCAGATAAGTTCTAGCCTCAAATGTAAGAAACGATTAACAACAGTAGAAAGAAATTAAGATAAAATAGTTTCACTTTATGAATCTCTAGCTCATCTTACAAGCACAGGGCGAGCAAAACGAGGATGGTTCGATGGACTCGGTTCTGTTTAAAAAACCGTATTTGGTACTCTCGATAATGATGATGCTATATTTTATGATAACGCTATTAACAAAGTTCTAGACGATGAAAAGGAGATTTACACTATAATGAAAAGTCAAGTTCAAGTAACCCAATCAGCGATACAAAATTTTAATAATACTATTAGAAAACTAACACAGAATGAAAAAGATTTAAATAAAAACTTCTTAGCACTCAAAGATTTTATGGACAATTTAGCTTCAAATGTCTCTATTACAGATGTTCGATCAACATTAAATACACACTTTAGCATATTAAATTCCTTGTCAGCTATGATAATTGAAGAAATTGATCTCATAGTAAATTCTATATTATTCGCTAAGCAGAATGTACTGCACCTTCATATAATATCCCCAAAGGAAATTTATCACGAATTAACCAGCAACATTAAAATTCTAAAACACAAAGAATTCCCAGTTCCACTCACTTTAGAAGATATTCATATACTCATAGATATTTCAACACTTAATGTATTTTATATGAATTTTAAATTAGTTTTTGTTTTGAACATTTCATTAGTTACTTCTCAAGAGTACTAATTATATCACGTACTTCCACTTCCAACACCTCATACTTTTCAATATTTAACTTATGCTCTTGTCCAACCAACTTAAAGATACCCCGGTATAACTACTAACTGTCATTCATATGTACAATTTAATAACCTTGATCAATGTAAGAAAGTCTCAAGAGAACATTTTATATGTCAAGATTTAAATGAATATTCTGCAATGTCTAACCCCTCATGTGAATCGTTATTAATTACTAAAGTTTTAAAAGAATTACCTAAATAATGTATTAAAATAAATAATAATAAATATTTACTTACTTACTAAGTTTATGTATGGTAATGTCGAAATATGGCAAAAATTAACCAATAACAGATGGATATTTAATTATTCAGAACCAACTAAAATTACTATTGATTGCTCGGGTAAAGAACTTAAAGATTATGAGTTATCTTCGACAGGTATAATAAAGTTAGATAGAGATTACTTGACTGCAACTAGTGATATCATTACCAATTTACTTCTCCAAGTATTGACATTGATTTAACTAAAGATGAATGTTGCAACAATGCAGTTCTGAATAAAACTAAACATTTATTTACTCCATTTCATATCAACAATATACAATTAGTTGATCTTAATTTAGCTTCTGTAAAGTTGCATTCAATTGAAGAACAAATAACTACTAGAGAAAAAGTTCGATATGATGTCCATAATAATGTACACATACCCTTTCTTTTATATACGATTTGTGGATTTTTAACACTCTTCTTTTTATTCAAATTATGCAAAAAGTTTAGAAGAAGCGCCAGAATTCAACCATCAGAAGATGATTACCATGATTATAATAATCAATATACTAGTAGATGTTGTATCAGAATATTTAATCATTGTTATAATAAGAACCACGACGAAAGTATATCAACTGCACATAGGCTCGAAATGCAAGATGTTAGATATATTACCACTCGAGATGAAGTAATAATTGATGAACCTACTACGAGAACTCCACTAAGACCAAAAAGAATACCAAGTTCTTCAGATGTAAGGTATTCATATAATCTTAGTAATTGAATAGTCTTCAGTATCTAATAAAATGAAATATAAAAGAAAATAATTAAAATACGATATTATAATTATAATAATATTGTTTAATTTTAAGTTTTATATCTTTTATTTTGGGACTATATTATTGGGAAAATAGATAATATTTATTTATTTATAACAAGGTACACCAACAGCAAAACACATACAACATTCACAACATCCAAAATAATTCACAAAAGGTTCAACTTCAATGCGCTCGCCAATTACAGGTATACACAGCATTTACCATGACAATACAATTATAGATAAAATAAAATAAAATCAATAACACTTAACTGATCTACAGAAATTATATTTTATACAGAGTGTGAACTGACTGGCTGAAAGTAATTGTTTAGTTTTTTCCTGAAAATAGCAGGGGAACCATTGAAAATGTCAATAGTGGGTACGTCTTTCAAAATTTCGTTGTATTGCGTACATATCCTAGCTATAGGATAATGCATTCCCAAATTTGTTCTATGAGCTTGCATGCTGAATAATTTGCGAATTCGGTATCAGGGGTACTTGTAAGGGACCGCAATTCCGATTTCGTTAAGAAGAGAGGTGCTGTTTACTTTGTTATTAATAATTTTATATAAGAACATCAGATCCGCTATCAAACGCCGATTCTTCAAAATAATAAAAAATTATAATTGCAATAAATATAAAGAAAAGGGAAAATTACATACATTGTTAAAAGATTATAAAGAAATTATATGTTAATAAATTAAAAATAATTTTATATAAATCATCATTAATTTTAAGATAAGAAAATGTTAATCAATAAGTTTAAAGAAATTGTAACCTCTATATATTATAAGTAGATCAACTCGGTACAAACAATGTTAAACAACATTAAATCTTGTAATCAATTTTAGATATTCATCTGAGATATTGTCAGTATCACTAGACAATCACTTATGCTCATAAACCCATTTTTCAGTTTTTAGGAGGGAGGTGTTATGTACGCACCCTTTTCCCATATCATTTCTAAGTAATGGGCTACGTGACCAACAAGTAGTTCACTTGCGCAAATATTATCTTATGAAAACCATAAATCATCGCTAATAGTTTTGTTTTTTTTCTAATAAATCAATTATTTTGGCAGTGACCCGAAAGGTCACTCCTAACCATCTACTATGCTAAAAGATGCCGCGACATATTTATGACTTGAACTATATTAAGGTTCAATTTAAAACTGATAGCAATAATGTAAAACGTAATTAATACAAAACATCAGGAGTATATAAACCCCTGAAATCCAGCATTAAAATAATAATTGTATACTATCTGTCTTAGTATAGACACCTCTCATCGTCATTCGCCACACTGAAATCCTCATAATATCTGTGCCGCCAAGTTTGATAATACTGTAAAATCAGTGGAATAAATAAAAAGACTTTTATAAAGTTAAGGTCTCTTTTATTTCAACGACGTCACCACAGCCAGCCACAAGGGGTACATAACAATGCCATTAAATAAGTAAGTAAATAAGTATAATACTCGTTATTACATATCAAGAAAATGAAATGAACATACATAAATATTTTATATAACTACTTATCGCTAGCCAGCGATTATAGGTAACCTAAAATTCAATGGAAAACATAACAATAAATAGTAGATTGTGCGTACAATTAAACAAATATTAATTGAATAAGATATAAAAAAGAAGAACAGTACAAATAGCGCGTAAGTATCACTAATAACAAAAGTCCAATAAAAATTTTTCCCCTACCACTTGTTCAGGACTTCTTTTAGCTGACAGGAAGAACAAGCGAAAGAAACTTACCAGCTCTTTATCATAAGTAATGACATTTACATAAATCATGTCATTACCTAAATAATATGTATTATCACAATAATAAACAAAACTTTCAAAGTCTGTAGGTCTTAGTTTGTACATATAATTAGTCGTTATATAACAAAGCGAAGGCTATTTATTCCATGCATTGCGATCCTTAAAATAATCATGAACTTTATAATAGCCTTTACTCATAAGTATATTCTTTTACATGAATTTTAAATTTATTTATGGGTAGGTCAATTACATTTTGTGGAACTTTATTGAACATAGCAATGCATTTACCTAGAAATGACCCTTTGATTTTCTGAAGTCTGAAGCTTGGAACGGCAAGTTTATTTTTATTTCTTGTGTTAAGATTATGTACACTACTTTTTATTGTGAAGGAATCGTAATGTTTTCTTGCGTACGTAATATTTTCATATATGTATTGAGAGGCAACAGTCAAAATAATAATAGTTGTCCAATTCCTATAAAATCTGTTTCATCAATCGCATTATTTACTGGTATTTTCTGTAATAATATTAATGGAATTTGATCAATAGGAATAGGAAAGAAAGAATTCTACTTATATACTTTCCAAGCAGACGAAGTCGCGAAAAGTCATCCCGTCCGGTTGTTTTTGAATAGTTGGATTACGTGCGACACTCAGTTTAATTATGAGTAAATCATAGGCTTTAAGCGGACATGTATCAAACGAAATGAGTTGTGATAATATCAAATATTAAAGTGTTATCATTTTATCGCTTAAATTATTTATAGTTTTTAAAAGTAACATCATAATATTAACTGTTTTATTATTTATTTATATTATTGTATTTAGGTCTAATTATGATATCCACCGTTCAATATCGACGTCGCTATTAATACGATAAACGGTACGTCAACAGATAAAGATGTTCCTTAGGTCGAGTTATTATTGGCTGCATGTGTCTGATTCGAATCTATTTTTTCGCGAGTGTCGATGCAATTAGCTCATAGAGATAGTCTTAAATGGTAGTAGGCACGTCCCCGCGCCATGTAGGGGCTGGTGCGCGTGCCGACCGTCGCTGGCCTGCGGCGGGTGGACGGCGGGTGCACCGCCCGGTATATATGCGGGCGACGCCCCGCCGCGCTCACTGCCATCGCTGCCGCCTCGCCGCCAGCGCCGTGAGTCTCCTCTTGCTATATTTTTATCGGCTCCCATTAACAGTGATATAATCGTGAATAAGTTTGTGGTCGTCGTGTTTTTCGTTGTAGCAAAAAAGTGGATTTGAGTGTTTAGTTCAAAATATTCTTTGTGATTAAGAACTTAACAACAAAGCTTAGCTTCATAATTGCCATTTTTTGCCAGACTAATGGACTTAATTAAATCTGTTCAAACTGAGCTTTCATGCTAATCGTTCTAATTACCGCGTATATGCCGTTAGATGCTATAATTAAATCTAACCATTGTAAGCGGAATCAACTGTGTGTGACAGACGACTGTGACGAATTGCTTACTCGTAAACGTATCGCATTCGAGATAAAAATTAGCTAAAATGCTATTATGAGGTTATTTACGAAAGTACCTATAATCATCGTACGATTTATTGCAGAAAACCTGAGCTGTTGCATCGTGAGCAGAAGAGGCCCCAGCGCTAGCAGCCATGTGTGACGACGATGCGGGTGCGCTTGTCGTGGACAACGGGTCCGGCATGTGTAAGGCGGGGTTCGCCGGTGACGATGCGCCACGAGCCGTGTTCCCCTCAATCGTCGGCCGTCCGCGTCATCAGGGCGTTATGGTGGGCATGGGCCAAAAAGATTCCTACGTAGGCGACGAAGCCCAGAGCAAGAGGGGTATCCTTACACTCAAGTACCCCATTGAACACGGAATCATCACCAATTGGGATGACATGGAGAAGATCTGGCATCACACCTTCTACAACGAGCTTCGTGTTGCGCCAGAGGAGCACCCTATTTTATTGACCGAAGCACCATTAAACCCTAAGGCGAACAGAGAAAAGATGACACAGATCATGTTCGAGACGTTCAACTGCCCCGCTATGTACGTCGCAATTCAGGCCGTGCTGTCATTGTATGCATCTGGTCGTACCACCGGTATCGTACTCGATTCCGGTGATGGTGTATCTCATACTGTACCTATTTACGAAGGTTATGCTCTACCTCACGCTATACTGCGATTGGATCTCGCAGGTCGCGATCTTACCGACTATCTCATGAAAATTCTCACCGAGAGAGGTTATTCGTTCACTACCACGGCAGAAAGAGAAATCGTGCGTGATATCAAAGAGAAGCTGTGTTACGTAGCTTTGGATTTCGAACAGGAGATGCAAACTGCAGCGGCATCGACGTCGCTGGAAAAGTCGTACGAATTACCTGACGGCCAGGTTATCACGATCGGCAATGAAAGGTTCCGCTGCCCGGAGGCCCTATTCCAACCCTCGTTCCTGGGAATGGAGTCGTGCGGCATTCATGAGACCGTTTACAATTCTATCATGAAGTGCGACGTGGACATTCGCAAGGACCTGTACGCTAACACCGTATTGTCCGGCGGAACCACTATGTACCCCGGTATCGCTGACCGAATGCAAAAGGAAATCACCGCGCTGGCCCCCTCCACCATTAAAATCAAGATCATCGCTCCCCCCGAGAGGAAATACTCGGTATGGATCGGAGGGTCCATTCTCGCTTCCCTGTCCACCTTCCAGCAGATGTGGATCTCGAAGCAGGAGTACGATGAGTCGGGCCCCGGTATCGTTCACCGCAAGTGCTTCTAAGCGCCCCGCCCTTGCGCCCTCCTCTATTTGCTTTTATAAAATTTTGTACAATTCAATACGAAAAATGTATTTATTTTATATGACTCGTTAGAGACTGCACGCTGTTGCGTTATCTTGTAAGTCAGTTAATATAAGTTTATGTGGTTTAATTATAATTTCGCTACATTAACGTGTGCTGTTTCATTGTACTATTAGAAGTGATGTCCAAATAAGGCGTGGTCGCATGTCGCTGTATAAATAAATAGCGGACGATCGAGTGCAGTTTAATTTAGTATCGATGCAGCGCCAATCGCCCGTCGCGCGAACAATGCGTCGCGCGCCGGCGGCGGCGCATCGCTGGCACTCACGGGAACGCCGACGTTCATTTATTGCATCTCAATCTCATTATTATAAAGGCGACTTTGACAAATTAATTCGTTACAATATTTCAGGTCAATGTCAGCTGTGAATGTTTTATGAGATAATATTTCAAATTAGAGGTAATTAATCACTAGTTAGATCATGCTATAGCTACTGATTCGATTTTGCTATTTCTATATTTAGTCGAAGTAAAATAATGCTTTAATCAAATGATTATCGTCAATAAGTATTTTGATATAATGTTACGATTTTCATTAAAGCATTGTTGGGGTTGATAAGAATCGAAAGTATAGACCTCGGTAGGCGGACGTCGCAAGTGAAAATGTGTCACGCGCACATACTAGCATATTGTTATTGTATCTGTGCCTACGGTTATAGTGACAGCTTGCTGAGTGACCGGTTTTTTTGACGTTGGTCCTAGGTAACGCCATGAATTTCATAAAGTAGTTTTAAGAGCTTTACTTGAGCTCTATTTGCTTTGCAAAAAATCTTTCTCATAGACGGAAATTCCGAATTTTACTCAACATCAACTTTACTAATGAAATCAAGTTTAGTTTTATTATTGAAAATAATATTTGTAATTTTATAGTAACTTAAATGTAGTATGTGCATAATAAATATAGATGAATAGGAATTACTTTTAACTATCATAAACATTAGTTACTTAACTTCGACTATTATTAGAAAAGCATTTAGTATTTAATATATAGAATCTGGCGTGACTTCGAGGACGTCCATTGCAATATCTGTAAAACCTGCAAGATGTCAAATGGTACAACATACGCACTATTACTCTCCACGTGATTCGTCCCTCCGTGGATTATCCTCAGGATCAAGAGTTGTTTGTTTTACGTAAAGTGTAAGCAGCAGTAGCAGCAGGCAGTAGCTAAAATTCATAATTATACTTATAGTTAGATCAAATACTTTTGCCGTTAATTAGTTTCAGTATTCGAACTCGCTACCCATCTGAACAAGTTCTATGAAAAATTATTTTCAGAAACTGATGTAAAATTAGAATGTAGAGAAAGACTGTCTGTTTCGAAATTCATTTAATTTAGACCTTATTTCTAAGCTAATAAAACCACGAAACGGAACAAATATCTGGTTGGGCATTGTACTTTCGCAGTAAACTTTCTGTTGTAGACTCTTTTCAGGCGGGCTACTTTTTTAAAGTTACATCTTCAAGCAACATTTTTTCTATATTATCTTCAAATATTTAAATATAAGTAGCTGATTCGAGCATTGTGTAATCGGTGAAGAACTCACGTACGGTAATTTGCGGGAACAACCGATGAGTTTAGTGTGGCAGTTGGTTTGCACCAAGGGTCAATGTCAAGCCCCTATTTCTTCTTGTTCATATTGGACGATCTAATATTTATGTAATTATTGATCTAACGTCCCTCATAGAGGCGGAGGCATTTTGGTACATCCTATTTTTATATGATAATGATGAAAATGAACTTCAAATGAAGGTATCATTACAGAATGTTGGTTTTTAATTCAGCAGAACCAAAACCAACAACAATGATTTCAGCAGTCTCTCCAAGAATTTCGGTACCCGGGCTGATTGATACATGTAGCATGCCCGTGATATAGATCGAGACCTAAGTAACTGAATTAGCACAGATGATATGGGGATAGGTCACGGGATCTAAATGCTACGCCCGATTTTCCCTAAAATAGAATGGGGAAATTAATACTATAAATTATAAGGCACGGAGTGTTGGGCGGTAAAGTGGACGGATGAACCTGATTGCATGTGGCTGAAATGTGTATGCTTAGGTTAATGTGTGGAGTAACGAGAACAGAATTGTGAATAATGAGTACATTGGGGATAATTTGAAAGTCACGCCAGTGACAGAGAAATTGTGAAACAATTGATTATCTAAGTATGAACATGTGATGAGAAAAGATGATTTGCATTTAACAAGGTTTATAAGCATTTATAATGATGGATATGTGAGGGCCGGAATGTAAAAGAAAAATTAGATCGATTTTATGATATTTATAAGAAGGAAGTGTCTATTGAGATGATAGCTGATCGTAATTTAAAAAGAGGAATACATATTGCGTCGATTCCAGAAAAAATGTTTGGGGAAAGGAATAAAAAAGCGTTTTCCATATTTTGTACTTATATCGATGAATCCACCTTTAGATATTCTAAAATAGTCATCTGGGCTATGCTATGAAATAAAGTCAGGAAAACAAATGACAATCATAACACTGTTATATTTCCAAGTTACAAAACATCGCATTGAGACATATTTACAATAATTATATCAACTATATTATACAATATTCTTACAAATACGATACAACGTACAACAGAACAGGATGTTGAAGAATTTAAATGTCTGAGGTCAAATTCAAACTTGAATACTGAAACGAAGTGTTGCCTGCAATTGTTAATTTAAATCTAATTTAACCAAACGTGGATCTGAATGATATCTTTAATCTATACTCAGATGAGCTCTTTCCGACTGCGAGTGGATATTACGCACTGGTCGATTACAGATTTAACATTGCTCTAGTCAAGAAACATTTTCTTGACTGTTTCGTACTGAGTGAGTGTATTCGTTTGATCGATGGTATGTACATTTTTTAAGACTGTCGTCATAAATTATTCTATATATATTTACAGCGAGCGAGTGTACACCATATATAAGTATTTACACAACAACGACAAGTTCAAGGATCGATCATAATCACCAGTTAAAGTGCGATTCTACGCTAACAGCGCGACTTTTCTATTACATTAAAGGTAATAAAGTTTCGTGTATAATCGAACGTGAATCACAATCGTAAAGCTGTTTTAACGTAATTATAGGACTAAAGTACACGCACAAAAACAGTAGAGCGGAATTAAATTAAATCATCACTGAACTGACAAAACGACGTTATTTGAACACGATTACTGAAAGGGGATCGATATAACACATCCATGACATCGAGTTAAGCACCATATATTTTGTTCCGATTCACGATCAAGATTAAGGGAGCCGCAAGGGTTCACAGTATGCGCGCATGCCCGGCGCGGGTCGCGCGCGGCGGTACAGCTCACAGCAGCCGCGTGTCTGGCGGCGCGTCCTCGTCGCTGTCGACGCACTCGAAACGGATGTGTCTGGCGGCGGCGGGGGCGGCCGCGTGCCGGCGCTCCGGCTCCGGCTCCGGCTCCGGCGCGTACGCGCCCCCGCCCCCGCCCGCCGCCAGTCACACCTTGTCCTCGCCCGCGCCCCCGCCGCCGGATCGCACGAACTGCAAACATCACAACATGCACATCATCACTATTCGTGTTTGTATTTTGTTTGTGCTGTGACTACAGGTGTGTACGAGAACGACCGATTCAGAAAAATGCGCAATGAGCAGTAATTTATTGTAAATAAAAAAAGTTATATGCGACGTGCTTCGATTGCTCACTGAACAGATTTATCTAGTACGATTGCTCGTACGTAGGCGTTACGGAGGCAACTTTCGAAACTAAGAATCGATTGAGAAAGCCAGGGCGATTCGATTTAAAGAAGGACATAGTGAAACGACAATTAATGATACTCCCGATTTCACCAGTTGCTGATAAAGTCCTTGATAGTCTATTAGGAACTTATCTGCCAGATAAACTACAACTTTTGATTTCACAGGTCTCGGATAACTATATCTGGCAGATAAAGTATTAGATATGTTATCAGCCGGTTCAAGTGGCTGATATAGACGTTATCTGATAGATAAAAAAAAGTTTCAAGTGACGGGATCGAAAATAGTTTTAGTTTTAGACCATTATTGTGTGCTTTGCGTTGATTGCAGTCACAAGTGTCACAAATATTCTAAAATGGATTTATTTGTGTTTTTAGAAGACGAATTAGATGAATATTTCGAACGTATTACGCGACCCCGTAGGAATCGAGTAATTAACCCTAGACCTAATTATTTAGAATCACTTGACGTTCAAGATTTTAGGAATCGATTTCGGCTGTTGTTTATATTCTATCGTTAATAGACAGTGATATAAAAACCACAACGGGCTACTAAGTAGAAAATCTCCGTTAACTAGTAAATAAAGAAGCTCCGTTTCTTCTTAATTAAAATTCACACTTCTTTCACGTTTTTGTTTTTTCATTATTAATTAACAGATCCAAAAAGAATACATAAAGAAAAGTTTAAAAATTGAAAAGCGTCTTAAATACAAAATATCAACAAAGCAAAACAAATGATAGTTGCGTTTCGTTTCTGTAAACACGTAGCTAAGTATACGAATATCGTATTATTTTCATTCTAGAATCATAAAATTATAATTCAAAATATATGAAAAAAGTTTATTTAAATAATATTGAACACAAAAAAAATATTAATTAAGTTTTAAAAATGATTTTTGATTGACGATAATTTGGGTCGTAGTATTGAAACGCAAAAAAGCGACGTTGCCGTTCCGTCAACTAATAAGTGGCCGATAACTTATCTGCCAGATAAATTATCTAGCAGTTTGATGGTGAAACAGAAAAAAGTTAACAGCAACCTTTATCCAGTAGATAGCGTTAACTATCAGATAACTATCTGAAACTTTATCAGTAACCGGTGAAACTGGCCCTAAGTAAAACAGCGTGGGGCGCAGTGCAACTACTAGCGGAACGTAAGAATTGCAATTTTCAAATATTAATGTCAGCAGGGTGATTGAGAATCCAAAAAATCGCTTAAACGTTTAAAGGTGACCGAGTTCTCGATAAAACTATCGAAAGAATACTAGTCGACGATCAGATCGGTAGTATCAGAATGCGGTTGCGACGAATCATACGACGACGACGGCGATACAAACTCACCGAGACCGTCGTGTTGGTGGTCGAGTTCGCTCGCGGACGGAACGTGAGCACTCGCCACTTGCGCCGCAGCTGCGCGAGAACTTCGCCGTTGCAGAAGCAGTAGAGGATCGCCACGCACAGGCCCTGCAGCGACGTGGTCAGCGCCGACACGTACTCGTACACGAGCCAGTAGCGCGCCGTGCGAGGGGGCCGGAACGGCGTCAGCAGGTACTGCAGCCCGAGCAGCGGCGCCAGCAGGCACGTGGCGCGCAGCGCGTGCAGCGCCGTGGCCGAGGGCCGCGACGAGCCCGCGGCGCCGCCCACGCCGCCGCCCGCGCGCAGCTTGGTGCACAGCACGCGCACGATGTTGCAGAGGAAGCCCAGGTTCAGCAGCACCGCCACGCACACGACCACGGCCAGCTCGGGCCGCGGCGCGCCGTCGTCGGCCCAGCAGAGCGGCTCCCCGGCCACGGCGCGGCGGGCGGCGTGCACGGCGGCGGCCGGCGCCGGCACCAGCCAGCCGGCCGCCAGCAGCGCGCGCAGCAGCCGCCGCTCCGACACGAACGCGCTCACGAGCACCGTGTGCAGGTACACTCCCTCGCACAGCATCCACGTGTAGTTAGTGAGGAGCGCGTACTGCAGCGTGGCGTTGAGCGCGCGGCACCACGCCGGCGACGCCGCCAGCGTCCGCGGCGACCGCACCACCAGCGCGTACCACGCGAGCCACAGCGCGTTGTTGATGGCGAACGACGCGAACAGGTTCATGTGCACGGTGATGCGCGCGCATCGCAGACTCCTGTGATAAAACGGTAAGATATTTCGTCAGCCCGACGATCGTATTACATTTCATGTCGACGAGTAGTTTGGATTACCAGAGTTTCTCGTTTTAAAATGTCGTAGAAATCATAGGAGAGCCTCACCTGAAATAAAACAATATTCCTAGCGACAGGAGCAGAGCCACGAGGGACACGCTGTAGCCGGCCTCGTACACTGCGATGATGTCACTCACGTCCTGCGAATATATTATTTGATTAATTATGTAGTGTAAGTAGGAGTTTTAACTGAGCTTCTATTTCTATTAAACGGATGTTAGTCTCAGCATATTCGTCTCCTATCCGCATCGTCTCGGGTACGTGACGTCGCTTGGTTTAATCGTGATAAAATTATCGTTCCATAGAAAGAGAATAATTATAGAGAGCGGTACCAACATCTTCCGGTTTGTAGCAGGTGGTGTAATTGGACCAGGGGTTGCCAGTTTGTGGATGTCGCCACCACGTACCATTTTCTGTACATTCCTTATGCGCCAACACTGAAAATTGGTCAATGAGGAAATAAAATAAAAAAATAACAACCAAGTGCCAGTCGCGTTCGCGCACGAAGGCTTTCATATATTAATATAATTGGCTTCTTTTTTTATTATTTAGAAAAACAAATAAACCTCACAGTTTCTAGACCAGACCATTACTCAATACTAATAAAAAATTTAGTTGCTAACTATTACTGTCCAAAACATATCGAATAGAAAGCAATATTTCACTTATAAAGAGTTTAGTTCGTATTGTTAAACCAGATGGCGCTGTGTTATTATTCCTCTAAGATATTTGCTAGTCATCCTAATCATTACTCAATAAAACCAATAAATTGAGACTTATTGAAATTACCTGTATCCATTGTTTGATTTCACTTGAGGACCCTAATACATTGAACAATTACCAATGGTAGTATGTTAACTAGTCATTAAGCAAATAGCTTTCCTACATTAATTTCAATGATTCATTATCATTATTCAGTTTTAAATATACATGTAACATCTCCCACTCTTCGGTTATATTGGTTTAATGATAACTAAAAACTTTCGACTTCATTAAAAATGACATTGCTAAAATATGGGAGTGTCTTACAAATGTATTCCCGGCGTAATTTATGGCAGCAGATGAACAATGAAGGATATTTTAGAACATGATCTCCTCATGTTCTACACACATCAGCAAGGGATTCTAAAATTAATCGTTATAATAAAGGTACGTAGTCGTTTATTATATTGGAAAGAAATACTTTTTCCAGATAAACATGTCTATTTTGTAAAGATTCACAGACAACAAAGAAATGTCTTGTTCGAAATTATATAGAATAGGTATATAAAGACGCATGCGTATTTTAATAAGGATCGAATGAAGGACTTATTTTATAATTTAATATTTTCTTTAACGGTCTTGTATATCGTAATATAATGCCAAGCTGCTTATTATGCTCTAGAAATAATGTTATCTATGTGTAGACTAACGTGTAACTTGGCAGCTAGTGCAATCCCGAGGTCTTTTATTTCTTATAGTGTAACTCGTATATAGAAATCACTCTGAAAATTTTAGTGTCATCTCCATAAAGCAGTTGACGCGAATTATGAAAGCAGGAACCAACGTCATTTACATATATTGTGAATAAGAAAGGGCCTAATTGCGAGCCTTGCGAGATGCCAGAAGATATTTCGAGACATCAAAACTACAGCTTGGCTTCAATTGGAAACTCCGAAAGTCTTTTATAGGTGTCAAATATCTAATTTTGTAAAAAAACCTTTGGGAAGCCGGTATACACGACATCTACCTGGAAACCCATATCAAGCGAATTGAGGAGATAGTCTGTATGTAGTATTAAATTACTATCAACACCACAACCATATGGGAAAAGCCGTGTTGTTGTTCCGAAATAACGGCTTAGTTCGTCTATAATTATTTTTTCAAAGATTTTGCTTAGTACAGAAATAGGACTATGTTATCGCCCGTCATGTTTATTGTTGGGTAAAGGGGCGATAGAGGACTTTTACCCCATATCTGGAGAGCTTCTTTTAAAGATTTCAAATAAATTATTGTGACAGGAACGGCTAATTCGACAATATCGGATGTTATATTGATGACTGAAATATTAGCGCAAGACTGTAAATGGCCCGAGTTATAGTTTAAGGCAGATAAATCTATTGGATTACTAGAAGGAACGAATACGGGGTGAAAATAGTCATTAAGAAGATTACAAATGATTTCACCATCTCTGGAAGACGCGCCACCGACGTTCATATAAGACGCAATTTATTAAGACAAAGCTTTGATTTGATAAAGCTCTAAAAGTATGTCGGAGCAGCTATAATTCTCGAAAAAGTTGATGTAGTTGTTGTAATACCCGTTTTGTTAAAGATATTTCACGGGATCGTAGCATTTAAAGTGTTGATAATCGCGCATCGCATGAATTTTAGTCGAATAGTGTTAATAAGGCCCCGCGAAAACCAAACTAGATATTTTTGTCACAGAAAACTACGTTTTGGAACGTGAACTTCGTATAAGCTACGTAATAATTTCGAATAAATTCATTGACAGCTTTCTCAGTGTTCATACTTTTTAGTGGCTGCCAATCGACACTCGTTAAACTTCACTCAACTTGTTATAATTCGCGGACCATTATCGCAAACAAATCATGTTTATTGTATTGGAGCCCTCATAAATATTTATTTTATTATACTCTTGCAGTCGGAGGCATATTGTGTAATGTAAATAAATGAAAAAGAAACGTGTGTAAAATATACCGTGTGACATACCAACATCAATTTAATATTCAAACGGAACGTTAATTTGCATTTAATGTGTTTAATAATACTTTGACTAGTGACGGTCGGTGGTATGCACTCACACTCGGGCCGGAAGCCTGGCACAAAGTCAGGGCACGGCGCGTACGCGGTGGAGTTGGCGCGCGTGTGCGGCCAACACACCCAGCTGTCGAACGTACCCTCACAGTACACCTCTGGAAATAGAAACAATACACATGCTATTAATAGCCATTTTAAAACGGACACAACAATATACCTCTTGTTCTAGCAACGAAAGATAACTATACATGGCACTAGGTAAAATTTGCAAACGATTATGTATGTAAACAATGAAACTGAGATTTCCTACATGTGCATTTAAGATTTTAAGCAGTCCTGCATTTCCAGATAATAAATATGACATAAATATAATACATTAATGACCCAAAATAGGACTCAACATAGTGCTGCAGTTGACAATGTAATTTTGCAGTCGATGTGCTAATCCTGCTTGCATTTTCTTGCATTTGCTGCTTGCATTTTTTTTTTTGCTTTCAGCATCCAAATTCTTAATGGTTCGCGCATGTTTAAAAATTATTATGATATTTTTTGTGATAATAAAAAAACGTGAAGGTAAAGAGACAGGTAGGTAGGCACGATTACGACGACAACAATATTGCCGACTCATGAATACGTTACATTCGTAATGCTTCATTGACTTCATTGACGATAAGTTAAAACAGAAATACTTGTATTTTCGAATAAATCGCTAATCCAAATCAGTACTGTAGCTGCGAATACAAAAGAAATACTGGGGCAACTAAATAATATTTCTGCATACGTGTAACATGCTATTTTTGTATATTATTGAAAGTTAGTTACCGGATGGTGGTTCCGTGTTGTTGTTAGCGAGTGCGCAGGCGGCCTCATGCTGGTCACGTAGCGGGTCCTCCATCCCCCCGCCCCGTCCCGACCCGCGTCGTCCTCCCCCGGCAACTAGACCTCCGTCCTCCCTCCTTCTGGAGCTATGTCGTTATCCAGTACCGTCGCACGAGTCAGGGTTAATGCATACGCGTTTAATTTATCCCTGCATGTTCACGACTGCGCCTAATATCTGTGAACAATACAAAGAAATGTGAATTATTAAAGTTGAACTAAGTTATTGTAGCAATTTACTATAAATGATGCCAATTATGTCTTGATTTATGGATCAATTTCTGATTTAGTACTAGGCACTAGAGTGGTATTATAATAGTTCAATCATGTATTCTAGTATAGTTTGTTATTAAATCAATTCTGAGTTAATTACATGAACTAAATATTATATTTTTTAGTGATCCTGTTCTCTCAAACTTTAATAAGCCAATATTTTATAACACTTGAATATGCAGCTACATACGTAATATGGCCCGTTCAGAGAGATGCAAAGGTATCTGTAGATTGTTCTGAATATTTAAGATGCTGATACTCCAAAGCAGAATCCTATTACCGTGAGATTTATGTACAAAACTGTTATAATCTAAATGAGACGCCGAGGGTCGAGAGTGCTGTGATTCAAGGTGAACGAGCTCTCAGCATACAATCTGCGTTGCCTATTTAAATGGTAATGCTGCCGGACCCCCTCGACCTCTTATCACTGGAGGACCTTCAACGCAAATGGGAAACGCATCAGTACGTCCGCTGGCGGCGGCACTGTATTTAAGAAAACCAATCAAAGGAATAAGTAAAAGAGCGACAAATAATGATGTCAGTGGAAGACTTTAAACCTTTGGCTATCGTTTAAATCAAATGTGAAGGTAAGTGTTTATAGATAGCAAATTGTTATTCTGTGCACTAAGTCTTGTTTTTACATTTTATTGTTCGGAAAAGTCGGAAAGTTTTTATCCAGATCGACACAGGAAGATAAAAACAGTACCACGATGCTGTGGGGAGGGTGGGGAGACGCAGTTATTTAAGGCACGAGATTCTTTTGAGCCGAAACAAAGCAGAGAAAATGTTAATATTACTCTAAAATGTTCAAAGCTACACTGATATTGCGATGGAGCAATCACATAGACATTACATTTACGCAACAATTGACTTCAGTACTCATTCCAACAATATAATTTATTAAATCACAAACAACGTAACTGATAGCGAGAATCACATTTAAGTCATTGAAAATGAAATATACTATTTTTTTCTTGTGTGTAAATGAACAGGAACTTAGCTTGATGTAATATTAATTAACACTCAATATAACTTAAACTTGACTTCAAATCTTTTGATGTTATGTTTTTTCATGAATTATTTATCATCTTCTTTGCAGTTAGTAAGCTTAAAACTTTTAATTATTTTGTCTTTGACATCCTTTAATTAAATTTATATTAATCTTTAACTTCATTGTACACCCGGCTGCACGTCAGGTGACCCACAATATGTCAAACTACAATAAATTTAGGCTTTTACTTTACTCCACAACGAAGTTACAGGGGGTCAAAAATGGCCCGAATGGCTTTGAGAAAAGGATGATTAGGCCGAGCCCTTTTGCTTTTTTGCTCGAATTAGCGCGGGCACTTCCGTACCTCCAGATTTATAGGACACCAAAATCTATTTTTTATGCAACTAAAAGACTTTCACGAAAAAGAAAAAAACATATTATTTTATTTGGCATTTGGAATATTGACATGATAAAATTCTACAGATATTTTAGGAGAATTAACAAGTATTCTTCAACACTAGAACATAATTAATTAATCATCTTAATAAGCTTACCCGTAAAAATGCCTGCTTAGATATTATTGTAAGTAATATAGATAGTGCGGTAACTACTAAAAAACTGTGTCTGTCAAACTATGAAATGGGTCAAAGCATTATTATTATAACATTATTACTGATAATAATCAAAGTACCAAAAATCGCCGAAGATTGGTTTGTAAAGAAACGAGATAAAGATAAACATAATATAAAAAAATATATATACATATGTATATACATCTTTGTCATTTAATGTACTACAAGAAGAAGATACTGAAAAGGCTTTTGATCTTTTCACGAACTTAATAAATTGTTTTTTCACATAAGCTTCTCTTAAACAAATTAGATAAATATGGAATAAGAGGCAATGCCTTGAAAGAAAGTTTCTAAGATTTCAAATGCTTCCAAGAGGTAATTTAATAAAATGTTATACTTGTAAATATATAGCTTAAATTATCGTGACGTACCCCAAGGTACTTGGATCACTTTTATTTTTACTTTACATAACTGATTTGCCTAGCGTCAGTAGCCAAAAGTATATCTTATTTGCTGACGGCACTTGTTACCAGAGGTAAGGATTGTGATGTTATTGAACGAGTAGTTAACACTGATTTTGGAAAAGTCACACAATGGCTGGAAAAAATAACCTAAAAAGTTAAAATTTAAAACTACAAATACTAAATATTATATTTTTATTAATTTTGCATTCACAACGCCATACTGAAAATTATTATTAATACAAAATGCTTAAAAAATCCACTTGGTTCCTGGCACCTCCTGAGATGGGATTCGAACCCACGACCACGACAATCCGGATTGCGAAAGGTCGTGGGTTCGATTCCCATCTCAGGGTGCCAGGGACCAAGTGGATTTTTTAAGCATTTTGTATTAAGTACAAATACTAAAACTTGAGTAATTGAAGGCACATTTAGACATGATTGTTGCCAAATTGGACAGATTAATAGGATTAAACAAGTGGCCTTTAAACAATCCGCTCTAATAGCATATCATAGTTTGTTGGTATTATGGCCCTTTATAAAAAAAAGTTTATTGAAATTTGTTTATTTGTACAAAATTTTGGTTTGGTAGAACATTTTTTGACCACATTTGTGGCGTTCAGGATTCAACAATATTATAATCAAATGCGTTCAGGAATATACATATGTAGTATATGAACACACATAATATAGTTGCGTCTCACCTGTGTTGTGGTATGTTAAAGTGATGTGGGGTAATCCAGTGGATGCAATTCGTGCTTTTAAAATGTACATATATGGTCAGTCTGTGGTGTCACCACTTAATTTATTACCCGTCGAAAGTGTTTATGAATTATTTCTGCTCAAGATTTCGTTTACCAGATATCAATTTGTAATTGAATTTATTAAATCTATATGCCCGAATACCGCCAAATTGAAATTGATATTGAATTGTATATTTGCGTATTAGACAATGTAATATAAACGAAATATGGGCCATTGATAGAAGCTGTTTGTACAAAGCACATGATTATTCGATCGGCATTATCTTATTTTGTGCGTAGCCTGATTATTTGGAGAAAATTATAAATACTTAATTCATTAAAAACACGTTTTAATTTTACAAAACACTAAATCGATGACATGACGTAGGTATGAAAAAAATTTTAGTTAGCTCCCGGTCTACATATTAAAAAAAAAACATTAAAAAGTTGTATTATAATTTCCGGATGCATTGATTGACCATGCATTTCCGACGATTGAATTACCTATTATATTACCTAACAGCCCTACATGTTTAGGCTATTATCTCTCGATCGGGTCTTGACTTGAGTGCACCTACTTATAGGTTTTTCGCTTTGAATGAATGAATGAATGAATAAATAAACACTTTATTGTACACTACAAAGAAAAACATGAATACAAGCAAATATTTAAGTACAGTGCAATCAGCGGCCTTATCGCTAAAAAGCGATTACTTCCAGGCAACCGTACATTAGACTGGATTGATTGAAATAATTGATGGGTAGTATATGGTGCATTACAAAGTAAGCAAATTTATTATTACGTAGAGCAAAATAATATATAAGCTATATATTTATTATATATTCAAAACAAATATACATAAATACACTAAACAATACATACATACATACACCACATCTATATAAATATAGCAACTTGGATTATGATCTATGTAGGTAGATGAGAACTCAAGTAGTGTTCTCTAATAAGTCTCTTAAAAACTACTAAAGATTTCGCGCGTCTTATTTCAAGTGGGCAGAGCATTCCACAGGCGGACTGCTTGAACTGAAAACGATTTATCACAGAAACCAGTGGAGTGCTTTGGTGCCGATAATAAATCGCGCCTCGGAGCTGCTCTGGTGTAAGTCGCTGCATGCTTTCTTTCTTCTTTAATCGTAACACGTACTTACATATTCCGATAATAGAGTTTTATAGTCAGCTCAATTTGATATCACTTATGACCGCGACCAGTGTGAATCCTTTGATTATAATATGAAATTATTGTATCTTATGACTATGATTTTTACGTTAGCTATTTTTTTATATAAAATCAGACAAATTATTGTATTTTGACTTAAATATTTACACATCATCTTGGCGATAAAATGTACTGGTCTAAAATTGTTAAACTGTCATGTAACCATATTTTTGCAAGTAAAGATTTTTATTATAATTCAAACGTGAAATAAAAATAGTCGTGAACTGATTTTTTACAGCTCCTAGATTGAGCTGATTCAAAAAACTTTGTTGCCCTTTATAAAAAGGTACACATTGATTATGTAACTTTAATTTTTAAAATAGGTTCAGTAGGTTTTGAGTTTTAAACAAATAAAAATCAAATCTTTCATATAAATTACAACATGACACTAAACAAACAAGTTGACGTTCTCTGGTACGGAACATAGAAAGCAATAATGGAAGGGGCCCATTACAGTAGTGCCGGTGGCAGACGTTTGCAATAAATGTCACGAGTAGACTGATGCCGCGAGACCAATATGTGTCGTCCACACATGACCCGATTGCCTGCATATACCAATGTGTTGCTTATAACGTTTTGTGCATTACTATTAAGTTTTTTATTTGTAAACAGCAATAAATAAGAAAAAGTTTAATTTTCAATTTGAATTTTCAATCTTGGTAAATTTTCTTTAGATAGATTTTTTGTCACAATCGCCTGCTTAAAAGTATTTATGTTATTGCATTTGTATGCCGTAACATA